TGGTGAAAAGGAAAACAACAAGAAGAGGAGCAAAACCCAGGCAAAACAAGTGATGCAACTGCTCACTGACTGACGCCCAGCCAGTCCCCAAGTAGCGATTGCTGCCCTCCGGCCAACTCGCCCCAGTTTATATGCTGAGCATGATGTCATATGGTATGGAATACCCCTGTGGCCAGTTGGATCAACTGTCCTGGCTGTGCCCCCTCCCAGTTCCTTGTGCACCTGGCAGAGCATGGGAAGCTGAAAAGTCCTTGACTAGTGTCAGTGCTACTTAGCAACAACTAAAAAGTCAATGTGTTATCAGCATTATTCTCATACTAAATGCAAAACACAGTGCTATGCCAACTACTAGGAAGAAAATTAACTCTATCCCAGCTGAAACCAGGATGGTTATACTTCGTTTATCCTTAATTTCTACTTCATCCTAATTGCTAAAAGCACACACTTCCATGCTTACAGAACCCTTTGCTTATTCTTTTGATATATTCAGTCTGTCTGATTTTGACCTTCAACAACTTTTGCTTTATCTCTGTATATCTGGATTTGAACAGCGATCCCGTGATTCTTAGTAGAGGGAGACTAACAGGAATTGTAAGATTTTTAGGGAAATGGAAACTCTCAGGATACTCTTTGGTACCTGTTGCAGGAGTACATACTATCATGAACTAAATCTAAAGTTGAAATAATACCCTTCCTCCCTGCCCCATGAATGTCGAAATGTATAATATAACCTTTTGCTGGAAGGAGCAAGTGTTAGGGGCTCTGTAGATGCAGTGATTCTGTTTCATTGCAGCATCGATGCTGTTCACTGCATTTCTGCATCACAGCAAACTACATCGTTAGCTCTTCAGCCTCGCAGGGCTGTGTTGTGACCATGTGTAGTGTAATCACCTAGAAATCCATTAAAATGAGATCATATTGGCACTTTCACAGCATTTGGATTTAACAGCTTAAATTTAGATAGCCATAGGTGCACGTCACTCATGTATGTTCCCACTGCTTGGTGTGTTCCCATAGATAATACCCTATCAGCCTACCACTGAAAAGTGGTTATGATCAAGAATTATGATGAGAAGAAATGTTAGACTGGATGTACTTAATTAACTGTGCAGTTTTTGTCAACCTTCTGATTAGATAGTTTTAAAGATTAGTCTGAAATTCATATTGTATTTCTATAAAAGTTACTTCTGGAACACTTTTGGGCACCATATCATAGAATCATAGAATCATTTAGGTTGGAAAAGACCTTCAATATCATCCAGTCCACCCATTAACCATTAACCTAACATTACCAAGTCATGCTTCTCAGAGGATAGAAACATGGCAATTAGATTGTTTATTGTAGAAAACACTTAGTAAATTACATTGAGGGGAGGAAGGGGAAGATTGTTTGTTTGTTTGTATTAATTTCAGTTTGTTTTAATTTCAGTAGCTAAATACAGAATAGTGTTTACTTCAGCAGGTAAAAAAGTCTGCTGCTCCTTCCTTTAGCAGGTGATATAAACAGGAGAAGTAATAATGAGACACAATAAACATGATACACCTTTGAGAAAAGTGTTCATTATAAGAATGTTACTGGTGCCTAGTTTGTGGTCAAATGTTCATTGGGTGCACAAGAATACAAAGCCTTCCACATGGCAATTCCAGTATTGTGCTTTTATCAGATACCACAGAAATGTTTCTTTGCTTTCATGTGCACTGCCTGCAGTGCTGACTGACATATGCATTTGGTTTATTTCCACAGGTGTGTTCTGTATGCCTTTGTACATCCCTTATGCCCTGACAGGGACGTGGCACTTGGGAAGAGGCCTGTGCAAGCTCTGGCTAGTTGCGGACTATCTCCTGTGCACAACTTCAGTGTTCAGCATCGTCCTTATCAGCTACGACCGTTTCCTGTCAGTTACAAAAGCTGTAAGAAGAACATTTCTAATTATTTCTTTATATATCTCGAGATGTCTATAAAACTCAGGGTGTTCACAATAACACTAGAGGCTAAATAGTCCTTCATTATTGTACCATTTTTTTCTGCAGAAACTTTGATGCTTCAGTGTTGCGCTGGGACTTAGAGATAGGACAATGCCTTGCCTATGATTTCAATGTTTCCCTCCTGCCACCTGGATCATAAACTATTTAATTACACTCCAGAGGAGGTGGGAAGCTCAAGGTAGAAAAGGAGCAGCAGGAGTGTGGAGAACTCGGGCTTTGGTCATTAGAAGAGTGGTAATGAAACTAGGTTGAGTCAGGGATGTGTTTAGACTTGGGATAAAGTTTAAAAGGAGAAGGAGGGTATGGAGAGAGATGTGGGATGGACTGACTGAAGATCAAATTAGGATCTGCATTACTGCAGGGGGTGATTGACATGTGCTGCCAACAAGCAGTTGGGTGCAAATTAATCCCTAGAAGCAAAAAGAAGAATGAATCAAAATATGCAGAGAGGTAAGAGGTGTTTCTTGAGTATTATCATTCTTCTACTTCAGAAGATACCTGCGGAATCCAGTGGTAATTATCATTCACCATTTCTAAGCTCTACCTGGTGTTTGGTCCAGACAGAAGATGATCAACATCCTTTGCTTTTGATGAGTCTGCTAGCTTGAGTGACATGGGCTGTGTTAGATTGGGAGGTTCTCGTTTGGGAAGTGCTGATACAATGCCTAATCTCTTTCTCTTCTTCCCCAGTGTTGTGGTTTTGGGGTTGGTTGTTGCTGCTTTTTTTTAGAAACTGAACAATGAAGTATGAAACCCCCTGTATTTAAGAAATAGTAATATTGAAAAATACTAATGAAGTAGCAGATCTCAGAATGTGAGAAATGTAAATTAAAAAGGCCTCTGCAACCCAACTGAGTGTTGATGGTCTTCATTTATGTGATCGCATTCTGTTTTTCTCCTCTAGGTCATTAGGATAGCGTGAGTCCAGGAGTGTGTTACATAGGGCTGATATCCAAAAGAAAAAGATATCATGCTTCCTCATGGACTTGGGATCCACCTCTGCCTCTGCTGCAATCCTAGCTTGTTGCCAGGGGTCAGTCATTTCAGACTTAGCCTTTTGTGAAGCTGTGCTGAGCTTCCTGTTTTCTGCTTACTAAAATGAGATTCTTGTGGTCTTGCAAAGGGCTGCAAATTGATTATTGGGAACTGGAGCCGTGCTCTGAGCTGATATGTTACTTTAAGATGTAAAGGAGCGTGAATCTTCAGGCTACAGATATTTAAATCAGAGAATCTAAAATAATGTGTGTAACACTGCATCACTACTCTGTTACTCACTGGTAAAATAGGGACAATACCCCTCATGTCATATGTGGTTGTGAAGATACAATTCATTAATATTTGTCTAGCATGCAGGTGCTATGTTAATGAACAGCATAGGAAGCTGATGAGGAAGGTAGTAGTTCTGGGTCCAGGTGAAGCCTGGGATGACAAATGTTGAACAGTAATGGAGGAAATACAATTGTCCAGCTTCTCATTAACTGACCGTCTTGTGCTCTGAAAGATAGAGGGGACCAAGAGCTAGAAGTATGTATTGTACATACTGGCTGGGCTATTACAAGGGAGGTTTTAACTCTTGTATTTCCTAACTTTGGGTGACATGATTTTAATTCTTAATATTTTTTTCAAAGATAGGTATTTATGGCTAAAGAGGAAAATAAATCAGTGCAGTCTGGATAGACATAAAAATATCAAGATTGGCAGTAATGCAGTGAGCTGTTTACAAGGTAAAGTGAGTGTTAAACCAGAATGTTTCAATAAAGTAAGGGATGTTAAAGCATATGCGTGGGATAGATTTTTCTGCTATGTCAAGAGGAAGTAGTATTAAAAATTACGTTGTCTAGTGTTTGCAGTCTCACATGGCAACGTGTCGACTATAGAAGGCTTCTACTTTTGCCTGTGCAGCAAGGAAGTCCCACAGCTGCTTTCACTCTCCTCTGAGCCGAGGCATTTCATGAATCATAAACTGATTCCTTATTGCTACCTTACTGTGGTGGTGATGAAAACAAGCCATGTCCTTTCACACCTGGAAGCCAAACAGTAGTTTAACCATCATAATTTCTGCTCCTCTCCAATCCCAAGTATTAAAATCAATCACAGAGCTACAGTATTCGATGAGCAAGACTAACAGAGTTTTTCAGGACCTTACATAAGTGAAGATGTTCTAGGTGTCTGGTGAATTACAGAACGCATATTATATTTGCCATGCTTGCTTATGTTTTTTTGAGACAGTCGTTCCAAAATGTTATCTGAGTACATGACATGTCCTTTTCCTTCACAGGTATCTTACAGAGCCCAGCAGGGAATAACGTCCAACCCTGTCGTCAAGATGGTGGCCATCTGGGTCTTTGCTTTACTCCTCTACGGCCCAGCAATCCTCTTCTGGGAGCACGTGGCTGGATGCAGCGTGGTAGCAGCGGGTCAGTGCTACGCCGAGTTCTTCAGCAACTGGTACTTCCTCCTGTGTGCATCCACCTTGGAGTTCTTTGTGCCGCTGCTCTCGGTGACCTACTTCAATGTGCACATCTTCCACAACATCCAGAAGCACCAGCGGCATGGCAGCACGCAGGACTGTGAGCCTCCAAGGAGAAGCAGCCTATCCTGGATGTTTTGCCTCTTGCCAAGGCCGGGATCATCTTCTCCTCCATTGGAAGCAGAGGACAGCGTTTCATCATTAATGAGGTCATGGAGACCAGCAGCGACGCCTAACTGTCCATCTCCAACACAAACCAGCTCCATGGCCCTCAAAAAGGACTTTTCTGTTTCTTTCCGTTCAAGGACTGGGTCAAAATTGCAGCGGGACAAGAGAAGAGCGAAGTCACTTGCCATAATTGTGTGTGTCTTTGGCATTTGCTGGGCCCCATACACTTTACTAATGATTATTCGTGGAGCCTGCCAAGGAAAGTGCATCCATTACTCCTTGTATGAAATAACCTTTTGGCTTTTGTGGCTCAATTCCTCTCTGAATCCATTTCTCTACCCTCTCTGTCATGTTAAGTTTCGAATGGCTTTCATGAAAATATTATGTCCCAAAAAGTTTGCAACATTGAGATCACGTAACACATCTTCTTTTTAGAGAGTTAAAATAAATGATAAGAGGTTCCTCTCTTATTTAGTGCTATTTTTTCATATGTATCTTCTACCGAAATAGAGAAAAAATTTTGGTTACTAATGGCATTTGTTAAGAGTGCAGCAGAGGCATGTATTTACCCTGATTTTGCTAGGTTTTGGGATTTTGTTCTTGTTTTTGCTAATATAGAACCAAGTTAAACACCATCTAGTGCAATGAAAAGAATAACAAGTTTTGCTCAATGTCCTTCCTGGTTTGTGGGTTTGAGGTACTTTTTTTTTCTTTCTTTTATATAGAGCTGGTACTATGAAAGAACTCTTCTATAGGTATCTCCATAAAGGTTCATTGGAGGGAGATACCTGTTTATGTATGTTTAAGTATGAATTAAAATTTATGTCCTATTTGTGAACCTAAAGCTATCAGTGAAGAAGCAGTTCTGCTACATTTTTGACAGGTTGTATAAATACTCACAGGAGCAGTATAATTTAATTTTAAAAACTATTTTGAAGACAAGATAGTGCCCTGTAGTTGTTGTAATTCCCACAGTGAGCAATATGCAAGTGAATGGACTGTCTAATCCAGCGTATCTGTCCTTTTCTAATTTTAATATAGTCCATACCTGGTGTGGCAGGACACAGTACATGTAAGTTACTAATTCTGGATGTTTTTCAGAGAATGAAAGTTTCTGTGGTAGTGGAATTTTGAGATTGGTTATCAAAATTGTCACACGCATAAATGGTTTTTACTGTTTTCAGCAGTACTGTCTTTTCTCCTGACAGTGGCTGCCTCTTTGGTCATGCTTAAACGATATTTAGTGCCAGATTTGTGCACTATTTGATTACCTAATTGATATGCCAGGCTTGGGCACATGATCACATCACCTACTGAATTAGCAGAGCAAGCAATACAAAGTTCATGCTGGATTTATGATTTGGGCTGGCTGTGCGAGAACAGACAATACCCTCTCAGGTGTAAAGCTTTGCAAGTGCAAAGAAATTCCATCAAAACATCCAGAACAAATTTGAACTGACAGTGATTTTTATACTAGATTGGTTCTTTGTGTCTTGTTACTGTGACATTATATAGATTTTCTCTGCCACTGAACCATTATCAAGCTGGATTTTTTCTATCACTTAACAAGGGCCATATTCACTACTTGAGAATGGGATTCCTGAGGTCTATCTGAAAGCTGACACAGAGGTGTCTTAAGCAGCTATTAATAAACAATACAGAGGAACGTGCAATGCTGAAAGGAGTGGGTGAAGCCAATGGAGCTTGATTATAACCCATGCCATGTACCAAACTTTCTTGCCTTGTGTTGGGCATTGAAACTCACCCAGAAAGCATGCAAATGTGAGTCACTGGTTAAATTGTTTTCTCTCTTTTTATATGATTTTCTTTCCTCTCTGTATTATATATAAAAATGTATAAAATATGGAAAGAGAAATCTGATTCACAGAACAAGGAAGAGCAATAGTAAATTTAAATAGTATCTTTTTAATCTAATTTGAAATTGGCTGTAGAAGTGTTGCAAAAGCAGAGTACTCCCTTGCAAGCATAATCCAAATAAGCGTAAGCAGCTTAATCATAGCACAAAAGTTGATGGCTTTGAGGAGCTAAAATGCCATTCTGTTCAGAGGTCTGGCACTGAAGACTTCTTTTGCCAGTTTTCATGCTGGTGGAAGATTGTCTTTCACCACTCATTCTCGTTACGTGCTGTTGCCTCACATGGATAGTGTTATGGATTGTGAGCCCGATTGCTAAGAGAGATACAACTTCAGGAGGCCATTGTTTCAGAAGAACTGTTTGCTCTGTCATGAGCTAACGTGCTGGCATAGATTTTGTGGGGTTTGTTTCTCTGTGAGGCTTAAAAACCCAAACACATGCATTTAAAACATTTATAGAATAGCTGGTGTAGTAAATAAATATCTTTTAAACAGAGAAGCTGTAGGTAGGCCCAAAATGGGAAAGTATTGGAGCTGTCCACTTTTCTATCCCTATCCTTTTAATATAAAAATTCAGTTTGCATTTTGTAGTTAAAAGAATGTGTTGTTTACTTTGGAAAAATTGCCTACAAAATTATGGACTAGGTAAACTGTATCCACATTTTGCAGTACTGGAAAACTAGAGTTTGTCAGGGAGCACAGTGTGCAGCAAATTTGAAACCACATAGAGTAGTGAAGCTACTAGAGATCAATGTTTTTTGATGGTCTATATTACACATACAGTGTTCAAACTGTTTTGCCACACCACACCTGTATATTTGAAGAATTTGTTGTATTTTTCTAATTGTTGAAAATTCTGGTCAGTGCTCCCAGGCTAAGTCAAGCACTTAGTTGCTGTGCTGACAGCATTAAAGCTGTCTTGGTCAAGGTGGCATCCTAAGTCTTCTCCCTATGAGACATTTCGCAGGGCTATGGTAAGATACTTACTCAGCATTTGTTCTTGGGTGTACCTTTCATGCACTGACACAAATGGACTTTGCTTGCCAAAGTGATTTCTAAGTCAAGTCTCTCTCTCCACTCATTCATGCATTTCACTATTTCATGTCCTTGAATTTTCTTCTGTCTTTGCAGATGTCCAATAGGTCTTGTAAATACATGGTGACAGTAGGCATATGAGTCTGTGAGGTTCACTCAAACCACAACAATGTTTGTCTAACTTGACCCTCTCAGGTCTTTAAAAAACCCCAACAAACCCAAATAAAACATACATGTTGGAAGAAATTGTGTTATCGTTTGTTTGTTTGTTTATTTCTGGCATGAGTATTTAACCCTAATGATTCTCCTAATGTCCCTCTCCTTTATGTTAGGCTACAGTTCTCCTCCACAGGAAGGAAGGAAGGAGAGACCACATAGATTTCTCCCTCAGCCTCATGAAGGTCTATGATTAAAACTTCAACATTTGATTTATTCCCTAATTTTTAAAAGCAAATGCCTACTCTCCCCTTGTCCACTAATCTAGTCATTTTATCACAGAAGACAACCAAGTTGCTCAGGCATGATTTGCCCTTGGTAAACCCATGATGACTGTTCCCAATCACATTTTCCTCCCTCAAGTTTTCAGAAATGCCTTCCAAGAGGACTTGCTCCATTATTTTCACAGGCACCAAAGAGAGGCTGACCTTTTGTCCTTGTGGCATCATTTGAAGATGGTTGCAACATTTACCTTCAGGTGTTGGGAGCCTCCCTTCATCTCTGTGACATTTCAAAGAGGATAGAAAGTGGCCTTGCAAGAATGGTAGCTGGTTCTCTCAGCAGCCTTGGGTGCAGGCCATCAGGTCCCATGGACTCTTATAGGTCAAGTCCTCTCAAGTAAACCCTGCCTTATTCTTACCTGCTCCTGACAGGTCTCCTTCTTGAACTCATTCACTAAGCATAGAGGAGAGGGAGATCTAATTAGTGAAGAATGAAGCAAAGAAAGCATTGGGTACCTCAACCTTATCTGCATCTGCTGTCACTACATCACTAACCCCATTCAGCAAAGCGCCTACTTTTTTCTTATTTTACTATTGATGGGGTGGCTGCAGTTGTTCATGTTGTCCTGCGCCAGGGGAGGTTTAGACTGGAAATTAGGAAAAATTTCTTTACGGAAAGGGTGGTCAGGCATTGGAACAGGCTGCCCAGAGAGGTGGTGGAGTCACCATCCCTGGAGGCGTTTAAAAAACGGGTAGATGTGGCACTTCGGGATATGGTTTAGTCTGGTCTACCCTTGATTAGTCTAGAGTGGGCTTGGTAGTGTAGGTTAATGGTTGGACTGGATGATCTTAAAGGTCTTTTCCAACCTAGATGATTCTATGATTCTATGATTCCTTGATGTCCTTTACAAGCATCAACTCTAGGTGAGCTTTAGTTTTCCTAACATCATGCTTATATGGCCAGGCAACATTTCTAAATTCCTCCTTTGTGGCCTGTCCCTGCTTCAAACTCCTCCATGCTGTCTTTTTGCATTGTAGCTTCCCTGATTTGCCAGTCTCCTGATACGTCTACTTGTTTTCTTGAGAACTGAGATGGGTTTTTCTTGTCCATGGGGGCTGCTGTCCTTAAAGGCCTGCAGGTTCCCTGAGCTCCTCTGCACTTTGGAGCTGCCTCCCATGGGATCCCACCTACCACTTTCCTGAATAAACCAAAGTCTGCTCACTGAAGTCCATGGTCTGTACTCTGCTACTCTCCTTCCTCACCCGCTTTAGGATCTTGAACTCCACTACCTCATAGTCACTACAGCCAAGGCTGCCATTGATTACACATCCTTAGTCAGCTCCTCTTTACCAGTGAACAGCTGATCTAGCTGTGTGTCACCTCTGTTGGCCCATTCAGTACTTGTATCAGAAAGTTCTCCCTGACATCTCCAAGAATCTTGTTGACTGCTTGTACGTGCTGTGTTGCCCTTCCAGCAGATGTCATGAACATTGAAGTCCCACACAAGAAACAGGGTCTGTGATCCAGAGGCTTCTTTGATTTGCTTAAAGACTTCATCACCTCCCTCACCCCGATCAAGGTGCTCTGCAACACACTCCTGCCAGTATGTCACCCATGTCACTGGCTTCATGGCTGGTGGCTTTGTGACTGTGCAGGGAGCTCTGGTTCCTCCTGTGTGTTTCCCAGGCTGCATTTGTGCACGTGCACGCAAGGCAGGTGTCTGTTTGCCACGTTTTATCATTCCTGAGGTCTCTTCTGTTCCTGTTGCCCTACACCTTTTGCTTTAATTACTCTTTACAGTATATTTTCCTTTGTTCCCCAAGACAGGATCAGATCACCACACCTCTCCACATTTCATCTACCCTCTTTTCCCTTGTTTCTTGCCCTACATCTTCTCGAGCACCCAGCATTACGGTTGCAGTCCGAAAAGCCGGTCACAGGGTGTGCCGTGGTGCTATGGAGCTGGTGAGCTGCAGGCATGAGTCACAGCCATGGCCTGCCAACTTCTGTGTACTCTTACGAAAATAAATGAAATTGTGATGAGGAAGGGATACGCCTTCTTACACCTGCAAAGGGCTAAAAGTTTGG